TGTGAGCGTGCTAGGGAGATGGAGCTTGCTAGTCTCTCTGGTAATACCAGAAAACTTTTCTATCTCATTCGAGTTACCGAAGGTGTTCGATCCGGTCTAAGCGAAATAATATGCGAAGAGGATGGCACCTTAATCACCAATCTTTAACGACGATTGGAGCTATGGGCCGAACAATTTGGCTCTCAGTTTTGTTGGCCCCCAATTCCATCTGCTACCTCTGGCGCTGGCGCTGGGGCCGAGTGGTCCACCCTCAGAGATCCCCCTCTTACCAGGAACTCGAGCAGTAGCGCCGGCATACGAAGCGTTATAAAGCTCCTGACCCTGATGGTCATCCTCCACTCTATTTAAAGCTGGTGGTGCTTCGCTGGTTCGAGAACTCACCGCTTTTTCTCGAAAGTTTGGTCGAAAGAGAAAGTTCCATCATCTTGGGGAGAATCGATAGTCGTCCCCATCTTCAACAAGGGTCTGCGCACAATCTGCTCCAAGTACAGAGGCATAAGCTTAGTCCCCGTCGGTTGCAAGCTGCTGGTGTCCATCATACTTCGCAAGCTATCCCCAACGCGCGAATCGTTGCAACGAGAAGAACAAGCTGGGTTTCGCCCTGGTCGCGGCTGCATCGATCAAATCTTCACACTCCGCCAGGTCCTCGAGCTCCGCCATGTGTATCAGAGGGCAACGATTGCTGTGTTCTTGGATATCCGCGAGCCTTCGATTCTGTCAATTGTACGGTACTGTGGCACTGCGTACTGAGGAATGGCGTCCCTGGGAAGTTCGTCTCCATACTGCGCGTTCTCTATAGTCTGACATTGGGCAGGGTTAGAGCTTATGGCAAGCTTTCGCCTACATTTGTGGTCTCCAGGTTAGTTCGACAAGGATGTCCTCTCTCTCCTTCTCTATTCTAATTTGCCATTGAGGATGTCCTGAAGAACCCACTGGGCGATTCATTTAAAGCTGGTGTTGTGATCCTCCTCGGTAGTTGAGTTGTTGGTTTGGATTATGCTGATGATATGGTCTTGCTGGGTGACGATCCACATGTCGTCCAAGTTGCACTAAACCGCTTGGCGACTGAAGCATCAAAGTATGATATGTACTTTTCGCCATCCAAATGCATGGCTCTCTTGCAAGACTGGCAGGTGCTTGTGTCTGCCCTCACTCTTGGTGGTGAGACACTGGAGGCTGTGGAGAGCTTTATCTACTCGGGAAGTTGCATTACTGCTGGCAGGGCTGTTGGAGACGGGATTTCGATGGGCATCTCGAGAGCACGCCTTGCTTTTTTCTAGGCTGAGGCACTTGTAGCGTCGCGACTACATTCGTCTCTCCATCAAAGCGCGGGTCTATTGTGCATCTGTTCGTGCTGTACTATTGTACGGATGCAAGGCCTGGCCTAATGGTAAAGGTGACATACGCAGACTATCCGTCCTCGAGCACCGCTGTCTGCGGTCCCTTGCCCGTGTGTGATGGCGGCACCACGTAAGCAATGTGGAAGTTAGACAGCGTGTCTTAGGACGAGGAAGCCACTCGCTGGAGGAGCTCGTCTCACTGCATCAACTTCGGTGGTTGGGACACGTATTGCGCTTGCCTGTTCAGCGTTACCCGCGTCATGCGTTGTTTGCGGTTGCTAGACAGGGCTGAAAGAGACGGTCTGGTGGACAGCCTGCAACTTGGGGAAGCCTCATAATAAGCTGACGAAACAGTTGGCCTCGGTCGGTTGTTGTCGACTACCTGGTTGGGGTCCGAGAGATGCGGATAATTGCGGTTTGAAGACCTTGAAAGCCATGGCTCAAGATCGATGTCAGTGGCGGAGGTGTGCATCGGTGTGTTGCGGTGTCCTTCCCTCCCCCCTAAAAGCAATAACGCAAATAAACAAAATTTAAATGCCGTTGTAAGTTGAGTAAAACAGCCTTTCTTGTTGTTCTTATTTTCTTATGAGTCATACTGTTTTCCTATTCAGTCATGATTCCGATACCACAATTGATGTACCCTAGATTGTGTATTATATATATATATATATGTATATATGTATATATATATATATATATATATATATATATATATATATATGGAGAAGTGCAGAGAGCTACACCAGTCGTACTCGCTTTTTGTTGATTTCACCAAGGCATTTGATACGGTGAACCGCGAGGCATTGTGGCTGGTGTTGGGTAAGTTTGGTTGCATGCGTAAGTTTGTAAGTTTAATTGTATGTCTGTACAGTGATACGCGAGCGAGGGTGCAGCTGACTAGAGAGACGTAGGATGACTTTGCAGTTATCTCTGGTGTGAAGCAAGGCTGTGTCTTAGCTCCCGCCCTGTTTAATATATATCTTCATGCAATGATGTCTTGTACTTTTGATGCTTCTTGTGCTTACGGTGTTCGTGTGGGGCACCGTATTGATGGTGGGTTGCTGAACATCCGTCGTTTCAGTGCGAGAACCCTAGTCTGTGACACAACTATCCGTATGTTGCTGTTTACTGACGACTGTGGGTTGTTTGCACACAGCGCGGATGAGTTGCAGTATATGGCTAATGCTCTGGCTTCGACAGCGGCCAAATTCGGGCTCACCATCGACACAAGCAAAACTGTCTATCTCTTTCAGTCTTCGCCGCTGGTGCACTCTGCAATGGTGCTGCAAATCAGCATTGGTGCTGAAGTATTGGAAACCACCTCCCGCTTCTGCTACCTTGGGAGTGTGATGTCGACTGATCAGCAGCTACACGTTGAGTTGCGTATCTGCGTGTCGAAAGCAGCAGTGGCATTCGGGAAGCTTGAATACCGAGCATGGAAGAACCATCAGCTTACCATTGGCACAAAGCTGACGGTGTACAAATCCATGGTGCTGTCCGTTCTTCTATACGGCAGTGAAACGTGGACGATGTACCGGTGGGATGTGCGATATCTCGAGCGGTTCCATCAGCAGTGTCTGCGACGGATTTTGCGCATCGTCTGGGGCGACATAGTTGCAGACACGGAAGTGTTGCGCCGAAGTGGGATGTATGCAGTGGACTGCATACTTTCGGTGAGACACCTGAGGTGGCTCGGTCATGTGTGGCGTATGGATCCGACGCGGATACCGAAAAAACTCTTATACGGTCAGTTCAATTTGGGGGAAGCGGCATGTGGGAAAACCAAAGTTACCTTATCAGGACATGAATAAAGTGAGTGATTGCAGATCATGGGAATCGAAGGCGGTTGATCGGCGTACATGGCTCGGTCTAAACACGAAGGCGGTTGCCGAAGTGTGGGAGAAAGACCTCATACATGCAGAGAAGAAGCGGCAAGCACCGTTGGGTTGTAGTCCATCGACATCGAGCTCATTGTGCTGTAGCACATGCGGTTGCGAGTATCTAAGTCAGGCAGGCCTAGTGAGCCATGAACGAGGCCACTCGGGACCACTACCGAAGCGACGATGAGTCCTGCAGTGGATGTAGGCAAAACCGGCGCAGCGTTTTTAGGTACGCTGCATTCGATTTACTAACCGCGTGCTTGCATGCTAAGTCTCTTTATTTCAGATGGTGTGTTATCATTTTTGTCCTAATGCTTTTCTTTCTCATATACATATCTACCTGTACTCTTCTATAAACTTGCACACGTCGTTGAAACTAATAATAGTAGTTAATTTTGGTAACATTTTGTCGTTTGTGGCATTTTCTTAAAATATATTTTCTAACCTCGTGAACTTATCTCGGATTCTTTTGTGAACAACTTATTTCATATGCTCATTAATTTATAGTTTATGTCACCGTTTTCTTATGCATTACTCGATTGATTTTCTTTGTTTTCTTTCTTTCAAGTGATTAGCTGTTGCTTGATATCCCCGGTGTGGCTGCTCTTGATGTGTATGTTGACAAGGTCCCTGCCTGTCTGTTACCCACTACGTCGTCCACACTGGCTCCAGGAGACAGTTGGTCGTTGCTGCAGGGGACGGGGTGCTCGGTCCTTGTGGCCGTGCTATGCTCGAAGAGTGCTTCCATGCACTAAGTGTGGATCGGACTACGGTCCAGCCACCACCTTGTGTGCGCTCGATTCCCCAAATACAGTGTGCCTGTGAAGGAGTGTAGGCCGACTCCGTTGATGAATCATGGCTTCCATCCACATGCCTCCCGGTCTTATTCCTTCGGGTTTACACCGGATATGGTGTGTGTAATTGGAACTGCGGGTGGTGCAGCGCAAGCCACCCATGGTTTCTCTGTAGGCACAGGCGTCCTGTGGTTGGCCACAGTGACAGGCAAGTCGGAATCCGGATGCCGCCAATCATATCATGAAATTTCGATACCTTTTTTAATGAGATTATCGGAACACTGCACAGGACCCATGTTGAGTAGCACTAGTAAAGCTGATACCGCCGACTCGCACTCAATACTTCTCCTTGTAACTATCTGAGAAATGGGTTATCTTGTCTTTGTCTCTCAGGGGAATGTTTACACTCATATGGGAGCAACACCTTACCGCGCACAGAATGAATCATTTTTCCGATATTTAGAGACTCAGCAGTCTGTACGCTTATCTTTATTTGTTTTTGGGAAGTTTTAGGGAACTCGATTAAATTTCTCTCAATCAGATCTGACGCACATGCAGTTGCTCTATGTGCCGCGGTTTCCTCATTTTCGCACATTTCTTTCGACACGAACTCACAGCGATTTTCTTGCAATGCAGTGAGCGTTTTTTTTTTCAAGACACAACGAATTACGGTAACCATTGTGACTGAGTCAATTGTTGTGACATTCATTGTCCTGATGTGTCCCACCTGCTTGAGCCTATTCGGACAGACATTTGTCATCTTTAGTGAGTCCCACTCATATCTACCATACACTGACCTTTGTAACCGTCTGCTGAGTTCAAAAATGACTAGGTAATCTTTAGTCTTTATGGCTGTCGCTCAGAAGCACAGCCAACTCATACTTCTCATCATACACTGAGATTCTGTGTGTTTTATTCTCCTGTATTGAATAACAGTCACGAAGGACTTAGCTTTGTGTATACCCATTGGTCCATTTTTCGTGCAGGTGAAACAGCGGTTGAAAACGCATCTACTTAACCGTCGGAGACGTGGCAACACTGCTGATCGTTTGCGTCGAGGCGATGACACCTGCTCAGATTCGTCTGCTGCCTCTATGGATGCTCCTGGGCAACCAGCCGCGTACTGGCACAGCGCGGACTCTGCGAATTCCATCGACTTGGATCCTGGTGACAATGTTTCAGCAATGAGTGAGTGACACCTGTGTGTCAGTTACCTCCATTATGTATGTTCAGTTTTACATTTCTCGTCTGACATTCAGTGGGCAATATTTCGATGATATTGATGCCGCGTCGTACCCACTAACTAGCCATACAAGCGAGCATCGTCCCTTGTGGCCCCAACTTTGTTTTGGCTAACGCCGAGATACACAGTCCAAATTGGTCCCATGGACCATTAGAACACGACCTCAATTAGCTTATCCCTACTGACTGATTCTTCCAAACAGTATCAAGGTTTGTGTGAAAGCTTTCTGTTGCACCCAGCAAGTAACAGATGCGCAGGATGTTTATCAGCACGCATTTCCGAAGTCCAACTAAGGTAACACACAGAGTAAACCAATTTCAACGGTCCGGATTACAATCAATGATAAGTGAGTTGCTATATTTCAGACAGCCAATGAAACATGATGTAGGAGACTGATATAATTGCGGGAACGCCTCTGTTATGATTTCGTAGATGCCTGATAAACTTGTCACTGGCACGGTTGGAGCACGCCTACGGTAACGGCTTGGAACGCTGCCCAATCGAACGGATTTGCGCTGATTTAACGGCATTAGCTTAGCCCGGGGTATGCGCTGGTGAGACGCAAATTCAGCGAGCGTGAGAACGATCCTGGCCGCACGTATTCGGGTAGACGCTGAGTCTCGGGACGGACGCACACATGAGGGGGTTACGGTAGACGTGCACTAGTGACTTAGCCGCGAACGTTGTCCGGCTAACGACGCACACAAAATCACGTGACCGACCGACTCCCACTTAGGCGAAGAGGGAAAAAGGCAAGTGGTCTTCTGAAGGCTCTTTTACGACCAACAAAGGGCGAATCACAACTAATGCCATAGGTCATTAAGTTAGGGAAAATTTCTACCACGGGGAGGTGGTAGTTTGTAAAAGACCATTATCAAAAGGTGCGCAGTTGGGCCGGGTCTCGGGGTGGCTGAATGCCACTGCGTTGTGGGGAGGAATTGAATCTCGCTTTCCACAGCCATTCTGCCGGGATTAATGACGCGTTTTTGTGGGAAGATTTGACGGGCCCGCAACAGGGACACATCGTGATGAGTCGACCACAACGATTTCCCTTCATGCTTTGCTCGTCTTAGCTGTGAATTTTAGGGATTATATCCAACTCTTGATGGTTTGGACACTTGTCTACTCACGCTTCATAAATCGACGAGATCATCAATTACTTACTTGCTGCTCATTAAGGGACATGCTTTTCTACACGACTACTGCTTCTCTCGATTCCACTCACCTCCCCCTGTTTAACTGTAGCTTCTGTCATTCTGATGTTTATCTACCTTATGAGAACATTGTTTCAACTTGGTACAATACACACTCTATCATTGGACGCCACACTGGATCAATGTGTGCCTCACGCGGCGTCTTGGCGGCTTACGTACAGTTGATCTGGTGGGTCCCACAACGTCATTCGGTGTGCTAATAAAGTAGTGTTTCGTTACGCCTATCATGCGGATGCTGCCCTGGAGAGCTGAGCCACCTTGACTAATCATTAAATTTCAGTTTCTCCCCGGTTAACAATCGGCGTCGCACCGAGGCACTGGCTCTTTCTGTAGCTATCAACGACCACATGTAGCTCGACATTTTTTTCGTCCGCTCTACCGGGCTAGGCTGATAGCACCGTTAGGAGAATCCATCAGCCATCGTTTTGGTCTCTTGCTTTTAAGAAAGTTGCGCTCACATCTTTATTGGGATACAAAGTGAACTGCAGCTCTTAATTCCTACCATATAAAGCCCATTCAGGCGAAGGGCTACATTATAGCTGGTTGCGCTTACGTGCTGATGATAGTGGGGAATTGTTTCTGGTCGGTGCTGTAGTGTGTGTATGCTTGGACTCTTTGCCTCATCCGGCCGCGGCCGATTTTTGTCGGTCTGCTGATCGACTCTGCTCACGCTCTTATTGTTGTGACGCCCAGTACGCCTTCACCCCACGACCGCAAGAATAAGTCCAAGATGAGCCGGGATGAACAGATTTTCTATTACAGCACGGCACCAGTTATATAGCTTTACAAACAAGGGCGAATCCAAGCTACTAAACGCATGAGATCGAACAGGCATGGAGAAAACACAAAATGGAACAAGCAAATGAGAATCGCAAAAATTACGAGCCAATGAAGTGCGGCAAAGAAAATAGTGTCTGCGGAGTTAATCCATGAGGGTAACCTTCTGGTGAGCGACCATTAAAAACGACGAGTAGCGCCCAATCAGTGTGGAGAAGTGATGCGTTTAAACAAATGCCAGAACATATGATAGTGAGAATGATACGCACCAGGAAAATAAAACAGGTATAATAAATGTGTCGGCTGAATAATACATCCACGTGAAAAAGCTAAGGAATGCTGAGCAAAAGAAACCAATCAGAATGTCCACAGAATGAGACGACTGAAATTAGCTGTGAGCGATTGCGAATGAGGCTGAGGAAAAGCGGCGTGTCCAAAATGTAGCAGAGAAGCAGGTAACTGCGCAAACAAAGAAATAGGCAACTAACATAATTCATGAAACTGAGGGTTAAGTAGCCAGCTCCCTAACACTTATCTCTCGGGGTTTAAAACTAAAGCGACGCAATAACGTACGCACTTCTCACAATATTTGGTTACATCGTTTTTCCTCACATTATTCACCATCTCCTTGGAGACAAACGCCACCTCATCCTGATTTCGGGTGCGAAAGCAGCTTGACAATTAATACTTGGCACACACTTCGTCAGTATGTGAGGTTGTAAACGAGCACAATCGGCAACTTCTAACGCACCATTTCACTGGAATGTGACACCTGTGGTGCTATTCGACAAAAATAGAAATCAACTTGTCTACTCATTGTGGCCTCTACCGGAGCCGTATCAACGAGCCTGGTTGATGTGGCTCCATCGAATCAATGTGAGCATACAACAGTGATACAGTCACTGGCTCGATGGTTCTCACACGATGTTCGGTTTTTTTTGTGATTGCGCAATGCTCTACACCAACGAGTCCAATAACGATACGGAGACACCGTCATGTCATGGCGTATTGTGTTGCTTTGGCATCACCAATTAGGGACATCTATCTCCGTAGGTGATGCATCAGTGTCACCGTTGGGTTTACATGATTCGGAAGTGGATTGTATGCACCGCAGCGACTCTGCAACATGTTAGTAAAAATATCCGAAAACCAACATTTCAATTGGTGTGGCTTACATTTACTTTCAGTGGCCATTGCAGTCACGAGGAGCTTCAAAGTACTGCGCCCACACTAAAATCATTCTCATAGCACAACCAGCTCCTGTGCTTTATGGAGATCCCCCAATCCATGTAACTCCTAAGCAATCCGAATCCCACATTTCGTATGCACAAGGAGTTTCCAGTGCTTATTCACCTACTGTTGGCCAGTGGCCGGAAGATTTACACGCTTGACTTGTAAACCGAAGATCGCCGGTTCGAATCCACGTAGATGATGGCGACCTCACTGTATGCCTAATGCCCTTTGTGAGTGTCTGCCTGAGGAATAGGTAAACCAGAGCCCTTTGCGCTTATGGCAAACAGTCATTGCCTTTCAGTATCTCCAGCGATGTGAGACAATGTTACCCGCTTTTTATAACTTCCTCATTGCTGAAGTACAGAAAGCTATATTCATTGGGCATGACTTGGAAAGAGTGAAGCCGCTCCCAGGCGATCGGCTTCTTGACTTGGAGTACGCCAACGAAATTGCCCTGATCTATGCCAGCTCCCAAATGTGCCAGGTCGCAGTAGACAGACCAGCATTGATTCTCAATCGTTTCGCACTATGCTTCGCACCCTAAAAATGCAAAGCTATCGAAGATTGGCAGGGACCAACTCTTACCCTGACCCTTGCTTATGATCAGCTAGATGTCGTCTAGAAATTCAAGGGCTTGAGTGGCTATATCAGCGCCATTGAATTGGAAGGTGAGATCACAAGCCGCATAGCAAAAGCTCGAGGTGCTTTTGCCAATCTCCGCCACCTGTTACGCCGGCGCGACATCACTCGCCCTGAATTGTAGAGTTCACAATGCAGCCGTCCGTTCAACCCTCCTGTACGGTTCCGAAACCTGGACCGTTAAGTCGACAGTCATAATGAGGCTAGTCACCTTCGATTATCTCTGCTTTCGTAGTTTAACTAATGTCTGATGGGAGCACCGCGTAATCAATGAGCTTGTTCGGCGGCGTGTATTTGGTGCAGGAAGGGTGAGTGAACCGCTTAGCACCGTTATATCACACATCACACATCATTAGTTTTGTAGTCTGTAATGTTTAATCTCGTCTATTTTGTACTGCGATACATTGGTTGATGTGTGTCTCACCCTCGGCTAACGTGTATTGATGATAACGCTGATGATGAGTGTACTTTTTATTGTTGAGTTCCGAGGTACCCACCTCGTATGTCCATTGCGACATGCCATCACAATTTACACCACTGTTCATCATAAAATATATCTCGGGCATTGCGACTACTGAGACCGCATCCGAAATGGAGAGGTTTCGGCGTTGCCTTCCTTACCAACGCTGTACTCCATGACCGGTTTCATCCTCGGTTGGACTGTTCATCCAGATCTTATGACCTGAACTGTGAGAGTGGCACATGGTGTTTGGTGGCTCTCCCCATTGAACTCCGTTATGAAGGACGCGCCTCACTGAGACTTAAAATTAACTGCGATAACCGGCTCATCTGCACTATTGGTATTCCTAGCAATGGTGATAATGCTCTGATTTTTATCCATACGGACGACCGAGGAGAGCCGTGGATGTAACTCCCGATTCGTTGGTTTTTGGACAGTAAAAATGACCAACCTCTTCAGATGACGCACATAAGTCCACTAGACCTCCTTTCTCGCAGATTATCGTGGCTTTTTACTGCCGAATGCAACTCCGATGCTGTAAATGCCTCGCGCTGTTAATTCAGCATCAGCTAGGGTGCGATGAATGCCTTAAGCATAAATAAAATTTGAATGAAAAGTGTAG